ATCCCTGAGGAGTAAATAGCTGCCTGGAGAAGCTGCTCTCATCTCGAGCATCATTTCTTTACCTGCGTTTACACGTTCTCAGTATTGCCAAAGCGAAGCCAAGTATCCCAGGTTTTCAGGGCTCCTGGGGGCATTGGGAATCTCCCTCAGGCTTGTTTAACGAGCAGGAGTTTGAGTGCAGCGACTCATTGTACTGATTTTTTTGCCCTCAATTTATAGTCCGACAGATATACCTGTTATATCCATGGAAGAGCTAAGCTGCAAAAAATACAGGAGGCCAGCGTGGCTCCTGGATGCATTTGTATTTGCTGGAAGTTTCTGGCGTCTTGGAGCGAAGGCCGTGCTGCCTCCCAAGGGCAAGCAGGCGTTTCGGGAGGGCCGAACGGGCCCGTCCAGGCCTGTCCCGGCTGGGCCGCAGCTTCCTGCCGCTTCCTTGGCAGCGGGGCTCGTGCCGGGGCTGGAACTCGGCCTTTCCCTCGAGCTTTCACCAGAGGATGCGAACGTCAGGAACTCCAGGCCGGGTTCGCTGGGGATTCCTGCATGCCTGCTTTTGCCTGGAAAAAAGCCAGCCTTGGGATTCCCTTCTGAAGGGCCAGAACTGGGGTTTTTACAGGCTAATGCGGTTTGTACAGCTCTTCCTGTACTGCTTGCTGAGAAGTCCCAGTAGAATGAAAACAGGTTCAGGTTTAAGTTCTGCTAAGAAGCGAGGGTTTCTTTGCAGGAGGGAAGTTCTTTTCAAGTGAAGCAGCGATGCCCAGAGTGCCAAGCAGGTTGGTGCCGTGTTGGCACGCGCTGCTCCCTGCCCTCCTCTCGGGTAGGAAATCCCATTTGCAGCTTGTCCTCGGGCCCCTTCCCAGCAACACGGTTCCGCTGAGCCCAAATCCAGCCCCCAAACTTCCCTCTGTGACAAGGATGCAAAGGGAGGTTCCAACATCCCCCTCGTGCACTTAAAGCCCCTGGAAAATAGAGTTGCACTTAAGATGCTGAGTGTGCTCAGGAATGGTGTATCTTCATTCCTCATAGGTGTGAAGATTTGGTGGAATAAATATTTTGAAGGCTCTAAATAGCAGTTGAGAGCACTAAATCTTAGTTAAAGCAGAAACCTCCGTCCTGCGTGACGCGTGTGTTGGGCTGCCTTCGAAAGGACAAGGAGTGCTGACAGCTCGAGTCCTTACAGAGTATTTCCTCATCATTTCCTGCATGTTTTTAGTAAGAGGAACACTCCGGCGGCCCAAAACTCATGTGGGAGAACTATGGGGACTCCAAGAGCTGCTCATTCTGCCCCAGTGATATGTTTGGGAAGGGGGCCGGGGGCCCCTTTTTGATTAGCATTGTGCCCTAGACGAATCAGTGACTTTTAAAACTAATTTCCAGGCCGTGGAATTACCGGGTTTAACCTGTGCGTTAAGTTGTTAAGCTTAAAGAACTCTAATTATTTAAATATATATATATATGTTGTGTGAATGCTGGGGGTCTCCCAGTCAAGTGGCTCTGTGTGAAGGGATTAGATGGGCCGAGAGTTAAATCTGATTTCCCCCCTTCCAGCTTTGGCTGCAGGCTCCTGCCCTGCTTCCCTCCTGCTCGCAGGCTTTCTGCTGCATTTTTGCTTTTAAAGAAAACCTATTTTTAGGCTGCTCACTGGGCCCGGCCGTCACCTCTGAAGATCCCTGAAGGATATCTGTTTCCTCGCTGGCTCGGTGCTGTTCGTTCTTGCCGTTAGCATTCCCGCAGCGGTTTCGGTTGTGCTTCCCCGATGTTGGGGTTTGGAATTTGTTCTTTCTAACACACATAGCAGGTAGGTGACTTCGTTTTCCAGCTGGTCCGTTCTGTCCCTCGGGCTGGTGTTTCTAGGAAGGGGAGCTCTAAAGATCCAGGTCCACGTTGCTCCGTGGCTGTTGAAACCGCTGGAAAATTTCCACCTTGGTTTAGTAGTTCGGGGTGCATTTGGGGGGGATATTCAGTTGTGCTTCTAAACCGGCTCTCAGTGGTTGAGTAGCGACCAATTTTGTCTTTTGTTTTGTCTTTATCATGAGGTCTAGGGACTTCCTGAAGTCTTGATGCTGTAAGTCTAGGAACCTAAAGAAGACACGAATCATTTCTGTCTTTTTAACACTGTGAGTTCAGGTTTGGGTCAGTCCTGGGCCTTGCCGGTTGCCTGGAGCAACAGCAGCGACTTGACATTTGGAGGAAACTCAGAAGGGAGCTGGAAGTCCCAAAGGACGAAGAACACTTCGTTATTAGACTGCGTGAACTACACTAGAGGACAGGAAACCCTCCAAGCTTTGATTTGAAAGCGTAGATTTTTCTTAAACATGTTCATGTTTGCCTTTTTTTTTTTTTTTTTGCCTGTTATCCCCCTTGAACTCTTTTCCGAAATTTATCTTAATGTCCCTGGCAGTTCCCCCCATCTACAATCCATTTCTCTGCAGCCCTAAGGACTGGGCTGGCGGGTCCTTCCGACAGGCCCTGGGCTGAACCGGTCCCGGTAACTAAACTGCTTTTTGGGGGGTGACTCTGTGTGTCTGTTGGCTCTTGGCCATTTAGCGGGTTTGCCTTTCAAACCCATGTGCATGATCCTAGTTACGTCGATTTATAAATGGACCTGGATAAACTGACCTTGAGGAAGCGCCTGGGGGGACGCGAGGCTGCCAAGTCCGGCCGTTCTTGGAGGGGCAGTTTTTGAAATAGTGCCTAACGGCAAGGGTTAGGCAAAAAAAAGTTATTGAAAAAAAAATAATAATAATAATTCCGGAGCACCTGTAAAATACCATGGCCCATCTTTTTGGAAAATAATGTGTGTGGAGGCTTCGAGGCCCCATTCCTGTTGCTGGAGTTCTCTGCGCTGCGGCTCCTTCCGACACCCCTTCTTTGCCAGGAGAAGGAAGAGCTGTTTGTCGGAAACAGCTCTGGCTTGGTGTGGGTTTGCTCTCTTGTGAATAAAGACCTGATTGCTAACTCGTGTATTTATTTATTTCAGGGATAGACTTCAAGATTAAAACTGTTGAACTACAAGGAAAGAAGATCAAGCTCCAGATATGGTGAGTGAAAGCCCGTGGGGCTGCTCCCGCTGGGCCGGCTCCTTCCAGAGACGGGTTTGGCAGGTGGAATCCCGGGAGACGCTGGGATTGCCGAGGCTGCGGCCAGGGATCTCATTCCATAAGTGTGCTGTGCATCTCCCGCAGGGGTGAAAGCCCCGTGGGAAGAGCTTTGTGGGCTCAAACCGTGGGTCCGTGGAGGGCCGAGCTGCCTGGCGTGGGTAAACTGGCACGGTGACATTTGGGCTCTCCGGGTCATCGGAGCCGTCGGTGCTGCAGGGTCTGCTCGCGTAGAGAGATGGAGAAGGTTTGGATGAGCTGAGCTTTATTCTCGTACAAATACCCCTCTTGTGTAGCTTTGGCAAGTAGCTTTCAATTTATTTTATTGTCTCCTTTGGAGGACTTTAAGTGCGATCGTACTAACTCGTAGTTCTGATAGGTAGATGTTACCGTAACACTCATATTTTGTACCAAATAAATTAGCACTGTCGAGCTACTGCCCTAGGTATCTTGGAATAGACTATTCCCAATTGGTGGGCGCTAAACTCTTCAACATTTTTATTTATTTATTACATCCTTGAGACATGTTTCCTGGTCCGGGACTCCAAAATAGCCACTGTCCAAGCGAGCCATGTTCGTGGCATTAAGTCCAGCAGTGTTGTGAAGCAGCACGTAGGGAATTACCACCTCTCATGGGGAGCTTGCTCCGAGCTCGTGCATTCCTGGTTACCACGCGGCTCCGCCTGTACATCGCGGCTCCGCCTGTACATAGGGGTGTTCTACGTGGGACGTGAACGCTCCAAATGGAGCAACGGCCCCGCTCCATTCCTCGGTGCCACCGCCAGCACCCGGTCCCTTCGGGAGGCTGCATTGCTGCTGATGGAAACGGGCCGGTCCCAGGACCCCGGGGCAGCTCTCCGAAGCGCAGGGCCCTTCTCCTGCTCCTTATCCAGCCGTTTTGTTGTAAACATATTGGAAGCAAAGGCAGCTTTGTCTTCTCCCAGCAGTTCAGACTGTTACCAGCGCTGGGGGGGTTCAGTGCTCCGCATTCATCTTTGTTCCACAATAGGGAAATTCAGGCGCCTCCCTGAACGCTCACAGATCGTTTCGTGCATTGACGACCCTGGTATACACGAGCCATGTTCCAAATCCAAAGGAGCTGCTGTGCATAAGGTTGTCCAGCGTTTGCACAGGGCCTGGGCTCCATGAACCACCGCTGGCAAAAGCAGGGGCTGAACAGCAGGCCCGGAGCTTCCAGCAGGAGCCTTGGAAGGTTCCTGCACCAGCGAGGACAGAAACTGCTCCCGCTCCAGCAAGAGGTAATATCAGCACTGTAGAAGGGATGAACCACTTCCAAGGAGCAGAGTAATAGAGCTAAAAACTGAGCTGTGGAGAACGCAGTATCGTACCCGCTCTAGGCCCTTGGATGCAATTGCTCTGAAATGGAAGCTGGAAAGCTAAGACATCCTGTAAGCCACGAGCTTAGGAGCATTAATGCAGCCATTGAAAAATTAAAAGTGATTTTTTTCTGATACGCTGGACGAGATCGTTTCCTGTGGGCAGGGAAGCAGATGTCGTGGTCTGCTGTAATCCACGATTTTAACTGCCGTGCTTCGGAAAGGACCAGCAGGATGAGCAGAGGGGTGGAAGAGCTGGTTTGGAAGGAATGACTGAGAAGAGGAGCATCCTTCCGAAGTGACCAAAGGGGATTTTTATAAACGTGTCTTGGACAGGGCGGGTGGAGGTTGGGTTGTTCCGCACGTCTCCGGCTGGGAGGGGAAGCCCAAGGAAGGGGCCGTTCCCTCTTCCCTGGCGAAGCCGTGCGGGGCCTTGGGAGCTGCAGCCTGGCACGGGCTCGGAGGGGATGAGGGGTCCATCTGTGAGCACTGGCCGTGAGCTCAGGAGGCTGAGCTGAGCAGCTGGAGGCCGAGAAAACATTCGGAGGAAACCTCTGCTTTGGTGGGAATGCCTGGAAATCGGCTCCGCGATTTTCATGTGGAGCGAAGGCGGAAAGGCAGCGTTCCTGCTCTTCCTAAGGAACGGCCGTGGAGGATGCCGCGGGCAGAGGGAAGCCCCGTTGGAGCTCAAGGACTGCAATGAAGGTTCCTGGAAATCCTGCAGTGGGGATCTGGGACACGAGGCACTGGTTCAGGGGAGTGGGGATGGATGAGAGAAAGGAGGAGGTGTGGATAAGGCGGGAGACACCCCCGAAAGTCAGGATAGTCTCAAACAGCCGTGATGTTCTGCTGCTGCAGAGCAGAAACGCGGGTCAGAGGACACATCCCAGCTTGGAGCTCTCGGCACTGGCCTCTGGAGTCTGGAAAAACTGCTAGAAATTCCACGGAATCATCCCCGAGGTAGAAACTAGGCTGAACACAAGCCTAAAAAGAATGAACTTGCCTCAGTGCAGCTAAGTGAAACAGTTACACCTTCGGGTTCGCCGATGTTTGAAGGGCCCTAAGGTCCACTGAAAGCTCCACCGACTGTGTGTGATCAATGGCATTGAGTTTTTATTACCCCAAAGCAAGGAAGGGCGTTAAAATGAGAGTTAAAAATGCGTTAACTCTTTTCCCATGGACAGCTTTTGAGACAATTTGGCTTGGGTAGATTTCTGTATCAAATATTTATCCAGAAAAAAGGACATCCCACTGCACTGGATGGGTTTGGGGTCTCTGCCGGGCCCTCGGGAGCTCTCCCAGAAATTCCCTCCCCTTTAGCACCGCGTAGCGTAGGCACGTTTGGATGTTGGCAAGGGAATAATGGATTTTTCCCTCTCCTGGTGCTTTTCCCCTCCCTGCTCTCCCTCTTTACGCAACACAACCTCCTTTGCCATCGTTTTGCAGCCAAACAATAAACAAGGGGCGATCTCCGGCCCTCCGCTGCCACTTACGAGGTGGCTTCATCCTTCCTGGCCAGTCTGAAAACATAACTCATTTCCCCGGGGGATTTCGCTTCCATCAGCTCTCTAATATCAGATCCATTAAGAGTTATCTCTGAATAATGAATGGGGAGAGCCATTAAGGAGCAGAGAAGTAGAGTCAGGAGCGTTCTCCTCCCCGGCCTCTCCAGCCGCTGCCTTAGTCCCTCTTCCCAGAAAAATCCCGGAGCAGTTAAGCAAGGGAAGCGGCTGGAGGCACCGGGGTGAGGGCAGGAGCCGAGTGACGGCTCCGTGCTGCCAGATCCCAGTTGTGTGAAACCAATCTGGGTCCCTGTGTAACAGCACGGCAGAAATCAGAACCAAACATCTCTAGGGTTACCAGCACCCTCCCCTTTCTGTGCCCTGGTTAGACCCCGGCAGCTACCGGCTTTCCAAGTTGTCAGCCTATTCGTGATGGCTTTTAGTAAAAAAATACAAAACTAGCAAGGTTCCGCCATAACTTGGTACCAGCTTTATTTAATACTGTGACTTACCACTCTGCTGTTCAGATAGGAGGCAAAAAATGAAACTAAGTCGTGTAAACCCAGTTAAACAGCCCTGTATCTCTTGCCTTTAGTGTAGTTGGCTCCCAAATAAATGTCTTTTTTTTTTTTTTTTTTTTAAAGTCCCTTTTAGCGTTAAAAGCAAAAGAGGGGAAGTACGACCCCCAGGAATTCCGAGCCCCGGTGCTGATGGGGCCGTGTGGGACCGGCAGCCTTTGCGCAGCGCTCGGCGCTCACGTCCCTCCTGTCCCCTCTCTCCGCAGGGACACGGCGGGCCAGGAGCGCTTTCACACCATCACCACCTCCTACTACCGGGGTGCCATGGGCATCATGCTCGTGTACGACATCACCAACGCCAAGAGCTTTGAAAACATCAGCAAGTGGCTCCGGAACATCGACGAGGTGGGTGCCGTCCCTAGGATCCCCTTCCCGGAGCTCTCGGGACCTGCAGGAGATGCCACGAGTCGCCCAGGGCTCAGGCTGGGGAGAGCAGCTCTCCTGGGACACGGGCGGGAGGCGTTGTGGGTGATTTCATGGGGGGATTTGGGTGCTGCTCCTGGACCAACCTGGTGTTGCTGCCCTCCCTCAGCAGTGGCTCCAGGCGCTGGAATTCAGGGTTCACGTCCACATGCCAACCAAACGGATTCCCGTGCTGGAGAACGCGCGGAGGGAAGGGATCCGGGATTCCGGGCAGCCATTGGCGCTCCCAGGAGGAGCTGCCAAACAAGCAGCCCCCAGAGCAGTCCCCCTTGGGAACACATCAGCCCTCTGAGTAACCTCTCGTGGAGCGCCCAGATCCTCCCGTGTGATCAGATGTGGTTCCCTGCTGTATTCACGGGGCTACCCGGCCTGCAAGAGGGGGTGATGCTGGCCACGTTCCGCTCTGCGCTCAGAGGCACAGGGTGGTGCTAGATCTCTAATTTCCCTTTGCTATTTAACCCAGGAACTCTGAAAACAATGAAAATAGAGGTGAGAGGCCTCCTGGCTAACGTAGGTATTTGGCTTTGCGGTGGTTCAAGGCGTAGCTGCTCATCTGCACTGCACAAAGGAACCCTAAACTAAAACTACTGCCAGCCAGAGCCAGTGAGCCCCTGAGCGTGGCTGCTGGCAGCCTCAGGCCTGGCTTTCCTTGGTCTTGCTGTTGCCCGTGGTGTTTTGGCATCGTTTCTATGGATGTGCTTGGCTAGAGCAGATCTGCTGCCTCAACATGTCCCGCAGGAGGCCGAGTCTTTCCCCACTGAATACAACTCACACAACATAGGATGGAATAATGTCCCTCACTGGAAGAGTCCAGGTTGCAAAACATCCCTTAGTCCTTGTTGCAAAGGAAGACTCCCCCCAAAGACCGCAAGAATAGAGCAGAAGGGGAGAGAGAACTGGTGCTGGGGCAGCAGTGGAGCTTCCCCAGAGCTGTTGTCTCATTCCACTGGCAGCAGACGAGCGCTTTAGTGTAAGGCACTGTCCCAGGAATGACTCCTAGCAGCCTCTGTTAGGATTTGGGAAAGTGCAGGTTGGCTAGACCCGTAAAGAGCAGCCTGGACTGCAAACAACCTGGGAATGCAAAGGCCAAGGAGGTGCTTGCTGAGGAGGGACATGTGCCAACCCGTCTCCTGGTCTCCTTCCAGCACGCCAACGAGGACGTGGAGAGGATGCTGTTAGGAAACAAGTGCGACATGGAAGATAAAAGAGTTGTCCCTAGAGCAAAAGGAGAACAGGTGAGTGTCAAAGCGAGCAACGGCGTGCCAGAACTTCCTGGCCCCTCCGGATAGTCCACACGGGGTAGGCCAGAGAACAGGCAGACAGCTGCATTTGCTGGTGGTTGGTGAGTCTGGGGAGTGTTTCCTCAGCAGTTGCATTGTCAACAGCTGCCACAAATGGAAGGAGTTGGGCCACAGCATCTGCTTGCTTTGGTAGCTAAAATTTTGCAGATATCCCCTTATTAAATTGCTCATCACAGGACAGGTTTGTGTGCTACTTATCTTCTCATGTCCAGGCATCGACTTGAAATTTAACACACTTTTATTGCTGTCCTTTCATCATTAAGCCCTGAATCTTTGGTTGTGACAGTTTGCCTGACTTCATCTCCTCTTTGCTCCCCTAGAAGAATATTATATTCCCGTAAATTCTGCTACTTCCAGTGGCAGCTGCACCAGCTTGGTAGCTCTTCAGCAATGCTAACCTTGTGCTTTTTTCCTCTCTTTTTGTTTAGATTGCTAGGGAGCATGGTATTAGGTTTTTCGAAACTAGTGCAAAAGCAAATATAAACATTGAGAAGGCATTCCTCACATTAGCAGAAGACATTCTTCGAAAGGTAAGTGCTTGCAGGTTCTCTTTGGGTGGGCATTTAAAAAATAACCTAACACTTCAGCTGCTCTCGCCTCCAACGTTTACCTGCGTTGTTGCAGCTTCTTGTTTTGCTGCCTTCAGATCAACAGGTACTTGAAGGAGGTGTATGGGTGGTTGAAGCTTCAGATACTTGTTTGATGCTTCAGTATTACAGAGGGGTAGCAGACATCAGAGAGCCAAGGAATCTGCACGAGTCGTCCTTTCGTGAGCTCGGAGCTGCCTCGGGGCTGCATTGCTCTGGAGTGGCTCTAGGAGGGAGCTCTCCTTCCGCTCCTGCTGCACGCACAGGGAGCTGGAATGTTTGCAGCTGCGTGCCCAGGATGGCTCAAGTCTCATCCTGGGAATGCCAGGGGCAGGGAGCCCCGGCTTTCCTCCTTTCCGGCAGTGTGGGAGATGGCTCACAGGGCTTCCTGGAATTTCTCTAGCGACCATGAAGTCTGTGTGTGTAAAGTACAGTTCTAAAACTTGCCGTGATGGAGAATCCATAGGCGCCTCCCTGAGCTGTTCTGTAGGTTACACATAACTTGCCATTTTAAAATGGGCCCTTCATTTCTGCTCTGCCCCATTCCTCTGCGTAGTTGCCGAACCCTGTCCCGACCCCTTCCCTCGCTGAAGGAATCCTCTGCCCTGCTCCCTCCTTGGCAGCACTCGGTGCCCTCGGAAAGCTCTGTGCGTCCGTCAGGAGTGCTCTGGATGCAGGTGGAGCAGAGCCGGCCCTCCCGGCCCCGTTCTGATGCTCTTCCAGCCCCGGCGCTGCCGGGTGCTCCGGATTGACTCACCCCGTGGGTGCTGCTGCAGACGCTTCCCCTCATCTCTGTGTTCTGCTCCCCGAAGGAGAGTTTAGTGCGAGCCCAAGGCCTCGTCTTCCCGCACCCCCTGGAAACACAGATCTGCTCCACAGCTCCTTGCTTGCAGCTGGCATCTTGACTTGCTGCTTAATCAGTTCTCCATGGGCGTAGTGGGAGAAATCGGATGAGAAGGGATGAGAATCCGATGGCCTGGCAGCTCTCAGGCAGTCCTTGGACCTTTGCATTTTTACTTTGGGCCTCCCCTGCTCGCGTGAGGAAGAGGGGGCTGTAACTTTGGCCTGGTTGCCATAAAGGGGACTAAGAAAAGGGATAAGGTGCGAAGCCGCGGGCGTCTCGGAGCGACGTGTGTGTTGGGATCTCGGCGGCTGCTCCAAACCGCTCGGGTCTGACCAAGTTTTCGTCCCGTGACGCAGAGCGGCAACCTGCTGTCCGGGCTGGCCGCGGGGAAGGTCACGGTCCACAAGTTTGTTCCGGATCCCAGTTGTTGCTTTTAGAACAAAACAAGGACCGCGCGGCCGGGCTTTGCCCGCTTTTCCCTCCGTTCTTATCGCCGTGTTTGCGCCTGGGCCCGTTGGGCGCCGTCTCGCCGTAACCCCCGGCCTCTTGGCGCTGGATACTGAGCTCTGCGGCTGAGCGTTGCACGAATTACCTAACTTCTCCACTTGTTTCGTTGCAGACCCCTGTAAAAGAGCCCAACAGCGAAAATGTAGATATCAGCAGTG